ATTTTTTTATTAGGAGATGTTTCATTGTTAAATGCTTAATTTATGAAAATTTATATGATTTTTTAAATTTAAAATTATTTAAGATATTAACATATATAATTTTTCAATGTTATTTGCAGAGAAGTAAGATCATTAACTCTCAATGTACAATTAATTATAGCATGAAATAATAATAGTAATATGAAAAATATCACACATAATATTACAATACATGAGATGTTGGATATTATTTTTTTTTGATCATTTTTGTCAAGGGGCCGGGTAGAACCGTAGCCCTTGGGGGAGGGGGGACATGTATGAAATCTTAATTCTCCTAATTAGGGGTGTTTGTTTTGGCCTTTTGGAAACAACTATTAATTGTTGGTTTTAATCAAATGGATTAGAAATTTTGAATTATAAACAATAACAATTTCTAATTATCAAATATTAATTATCAATTATATAAAAAAAAACTAATCCAAACAACCCCTACAATAGAAACCAAATTCCCAAGAATTGTCAACTTATTTTTCAATAGTTTGATGATCCCTACAACCATAGAAGGGAAATTTCGTATCACATTGCAACTGTTTTATAAAAGATCCCCTTTATTTCTTTGTCTATCTCTTCTTTGGAAGAAAATTTCCAAAATTCACTAATTTTCCAAAACTAAGGGGGTGTTTGGTTGGGGAGCAACTTTCTCCTTAAACTTTTCTAAACATTTTTTTTATAAAGTTATTTATGTATTTTCACATATTAATATTATAACAAAAGGAAAGTAAAAGTGACATATTGAGTATTTATTTTTCTTGACATAATTCCTAACCCATAAAATTTTTTTCCTACTTATATTGAAAGAAAAAAGTTTCTTTATAACTTTTTCTTATATTAAGCTCACTTAATAACTTTTCTTACTAACTTTCCCTATATCAATTTTTTACCGAACACAACAAAACTAATAACCCAACAAAATTCAAATAAAGCTTCACCACAAAATTTAGTAATTTTTTGTATAATACTTTCTAACTTTTCATATAGTACTTTCCTAATCACTTTTCTAATAAAAAATTCTCTAATAAAACAGCTATCTAACCAAATAGGCCCTAAGTGTGTAAAAAGGTAATCACTTTGGAGAACTACGCAATGGGAAAGGTAAGGTTAACTACAGCTTTTTCAAGCAAAGTAGTCCATTGTTTAGGATGAGTAGTCTATTGCTTTGAAGATGAGGTAACTTTACAATATAGAACAACTAAAAGTATACCCATAGTTGAAAGCTTAGAACCCCATGCATATTTAAACTGTTGGAAAAACGGCGCAACGGAATAAATTAATTCCTGTTATCAAAACACATGAACAATAACAAAGAACGGTGAAACAGGCGGCTTA